GGAGCATACAATATGTAGTGTTTTGTGACTGATTTCTTTCACTTAGCATGTCTTTATTTTAGCCATCCTAGTGGGCATAAGGTGAAATCTCACTGTGGTTTTGATTTGCATTTCCCTAATGACTAGTGATGTTGAACATCTTTTCCTGTGATTATTGAACACTTGTATATCTTCTTTGGAGGAATGTCTAGTCAAGTCCTTTGCTGATTTTTAAATTGGTTTGTCTTACTGTTAAGTCGTAAGAGTTCTGTATGTATTTTAGATAGTAGACTGTTATCAGATATGAGTTCCTACATAGTCTCTCCCCGCTGCATAGTTTCTCCTATTATTAACATCTTACATTTCTGTTGTACACCCCTCCCCCTGAACCCCTGGTACCACTTAACTTGTCTCTATAGTTTTCCCTTTTCCAGAATGTCATATGTTGTTGTTGGGTACCATACAGTCAATCACAACTCATAGCAACCCCATGTGACAGAGTAGAACTGCACCATCGGATTTCCTAGTCTTTTTCCCATGGAGCTGCTAGATGGGTTTGAATGTTATATAATTGGAACCAGAGAGTATGTAGCTTTTTCAGACTGGCTTCTTTCTCTCAGCAATATTTGTGTAAGGTTGTTCCATCTCTTTTCATGGCTTGATAGTTTTTTTTTTTTTTAACCACTGAATATTACTCCATTGTATGGGTGCATCAGTTTATCCATTAATCTATTGAAGGACATCTTGGTTGATTCCAATATTTGGCAATTAAGAATAAAACTGTTATAAAAATTCGTGCACAAGTTTTTATGTGGACATACGTTTTCAACTTGTTTGGGTAAATACCTAGGAGCATGATTGCTGGATCGTATGGTAAGTCTATGTTTAGCTGCCAGACTGTCTTCCAAAGTGGGTGTACAATTTTGCATTCCACCAGCAATGAATGAGAGTTCCTGTTGCTCCCTATCCTCTCTAGAATTTGGTGTGGTCAGTGTTTGTTGTTTCTATCTTTTTATTATTGAGTTGGAAATGTAAGAGTTTATTTCAAGATTCTCAATTCTATTCCACTGATCTATATGTATATCTTTGTGCCACTACCACATTGTCTTGATTACCATAGCTGTGTAGTAAGTTTTGCAATCAGAAAGTGTAAGCGTTCCAACTTTGTTCTTTTTAAGATTCTTTTGGCTATTCTGGATCCCTTGTATTTTCATATACATTTTGGAATCAGCTTGTAGATTTCTGAAAAAATGGCAGTGGGGATTCTGATAGGGACTGTGTTAATCTATAGATCAATTTGGGGAGCACTACCATTTTACAAGGAGCCCTGGTGGTGCAATGGTTAAGTGCTTGGCTGCTAACCAAAAGGTTGGCGGTTAGAACCCACTAGTAGCTCCTTGGGAGAAAAGTCCTGGCTATCTCTCCTGTAAAGATTACAGCCTAGGAAACCCTATGGGGCAGTTCTACTCTGTCATATAGGGTCACTATGAGTAGGAATTGACTCAACCACATACAACAACAACATTGTTTTAACACTCTTCCCGTCTGCTAACATGGAATGTCTTTCCATTTCTTTAATTTCTTTCAGCAATGTTTTGTAGTTTTCAGTGTACACATCTTGCACTGCTTTTGTTAAATTTATTTATAAGTATTTTATTCTTGTAAATAAATTGTTGCAAATGGATCCATTGTGAATGGATTCATCTCTCAACTTTCAAATGTACTCTATCCCAGTTTTCCAACTTTCTATGGAGCATTTTAGTTAGGATATTCCACTAAGTCAACTCAAACCGAGCGTGTTCTAAATGAAAATCAAAATAATTTCTTTCAAAATAACAGACTTGTCAAATTGCTTCAGAGTCTGCGCCCTCATTGACTTCACAGCTTATCAGGCAAGACAGACCCTGGAAAAGTATCATAAGTACTCATTTTATACTCTGTACAGGAATGATGGGCATGTAGTTGGTATTTAATAGATACTTTCTGGTTTACTAATTAATTGACTGATTAAGATGGGATTTTGGCTGGCTCTTCCTAAAAGGTTCAATAGGATTTGGACAGATAGCTAGATGATATTTAATCAAGTAAATATATGCTCCCCCGGCCTTATATAGATTGACCAATATCATTAATGTCATACACAAGTAAAATTTTGCTGAACATAATTCAAAGGTAGTTGCAGCAGTACATTGACAGGGAATTGCCAGAAATTCAAGCTGGATTCAGAAGAGAACGTGGAATGAGGGATATCGCTGATGTCAGATAGATCTTGGCTGAAAGCAAAGAATACTAGAAACATATTTATTGACCATGCAAAGGCATTTGACTGTGTGGATCACAACAAATTATGGATAACATTGTGAAGAATGGGAATACTAGAACACTTAATTGTGCTCATGGAGAACCTGCACATAGACCAAAAGGCAGTCATTCAGACAGAGAAAGGGGATATTGCATGGTTTAAAATCAGAAAAAGTGTGTATCAAGGTTGTATCATTTCACCATACTTATTTAGTCTGTATGCTGAGCAGACAATTCAAGATGCTGGAGTATATGAAGAAGAATGCGGCATCAGAATTGGAGGAAGACTAACAACCTGTGATATGCAGATGACACAACCTAGCTTGCTGAAAGTGAAGAGGACTTGAAGCTCTTACTGATGAAGATCAAAGACCACAGCCTTCAGTATGGATTACACCTCAACATAAACAAAACAAAAATCCTCACAACTGGACCAATAAGCAACATCATGATAAACAGAGAAAAGATTGAAGTTGTTAAGGATCCACAATCGATGTCAATGGAAGCAGCAGTCATGAAATCAAAATGATGCATTGCATTGGTCAAATCTGCTACAAAGGACCTCTTTAAGGTGTTCAAAAGCAAAGGTGTCACTTTAAAAACTAAAGTGTACCTGACCAAGCCATGGTATTTTCAATTGTCTCATATGCATGCGAAAGCTGGACAATGAATAAGGAAGACCAAAGAAGAATTGA